TAAACCTTAATAAGATGTATTTTGCTTTCTTTTATAAATGCTAGAAGCAATCTATTTCTTTCAGGTTGACTTATTTTAGAAACAGATACTTTTTTTGAAAAGCATGATAATTTTTTGTACATTATAGTATTGTTGCGCGTTTTGGTTTTGGTATTTATTTGCAGTCTATCAGGAAATTGTCCAGCACTGAGTGCCATAATCTGGACAGACATCGCGTAATAGTTCAATACTCGTTTCTTTGTTTCTAATAAAGTTTTTTCTATCTCTCAATACTCTGATTACCTTTTGCAAAGCATCTTTGGCAAACCCAATGCGTTTTCGGATTTCAGGGTGACATTTTCCGTCCTCATCCTTTTGCTAATAAGCATCGATCTTAATAGGCAGTTATAAGGATAAATCAGAAAATAAATATTACACTTTGACAAGACGCAGTAAGGAACTGAATCGATCGTTTAAAACCAATTGCAATTGGTTGAATTAATCGATAATTAACAATACATACAAAAGCGGTTCGATTTTACTGTGCGTTACTACAAACTAGACAATGTTCAGATTATTATGTAATATTATTATTTTATGTTTTTAAATCGGTATCACTCCATGCAAGGCAATAAAGCCATTAAGATAAAAGGGATTACTACGTGTAGAAGAATTAGGAATAGAAACATTAATAATGAACGGGAAGAGAAAAGAGCAATCTGGAAGACAGTAGATAGCGAATTACATTGCATTTAAATTTTTACAGCTTAAACAAACAAAATTAAATGTTATTGTCCGAGACCATTTTTATTTCAGAAGCACGGCACATATATGAGGTACTACAAACAGGCAATCACCTCCATCGCCATCACGTATGGCGAATTTGTGATAAAGATATGGCCTATCAAGGCTCTTTACCTGTTTCTTTCCATTGTGAGGCTTAAATCATTACCCATTTTCTTCCTTGTTTCTGCAATCTCTTCATTCAAACACATTAAATTGCTCAGTTTTGCTCTGTCATTTTCCTTTCAATACGAGCATTTAATTTTCCAAACTGCCCTTCGTCATAAGGGGTTCCAGAATGTTTACCTGCTTCCGTCTGATTTTTCCAATGGTTGTCTATCTAGTACCAATTAAAAGAAAAATACAAACTTCCTCCTTAGACACTTATTTTTATTCGGTTTCACTCCATGCAAGGCAGTGAAGCCATTATGACACAAGAGATTACTAGGTGTGAAAGAATTAGGAATAGAAACATTAATAATGAGCGGGAAGAGAAAAGACAGGAAGACAGTAGATAGCCATTGACATTGAATTTAAATTTTTACAGTTTAAACAAACAAAATTAAATGTTAGATTTCGAGACCATTTTTATTTCAGACGCACGGCACATATATGAGGTACTACAAACAGGCAATCTCCTACATCGTCATCACGTATTACGCATGTGTGATGAAGATAGAGACGATCAGGACGTTGAAGATCAAGGCTCTTCACCTTTTTTTGTCTATTGTGATGCTTATATCATTATCCACTTTCCTTCCTTAATTCTGCAATCTCTTCATTCAAACACATTAAATTAAATATCACATTAAATATCGATGTCATCCGAACAATTGTCATGAAGGTATTTTTAGAAAAGACACAGAGAGACAACCTTACGGCGGTGAGAAATTAACTGAAGCCGTACCGCTTGATCAGGATCAGTTATCTTGCTGCTTCTTCTTTGGATTCTTCTCACGGTAAGTAACAGGGGCACTGAACCACATGTGGCAGCAATGTTTGAAGTATGGACGAATGGTAGACTTATAGATATGTAAGATAGATTCTGGAGAGAAAAATTGTCTCGCACGACGCAGGGAACCAATTTTCTTAGAAGCTGATCTAGAAATGAATTCAATATAGTCTTTCCACTTTATATCAGCTAAGAACGTTAGCCCGATAAGACGCAATGATTTCATTTCTTGGAGGTTACTATGACGATGGAAGGCATAGTAAGGACTCTCAGATGATTAAGTAAGAAAAGTTTTCGTTTGAAAGCGTTAAAGCTAACAAGCCATTTTTAACCCTAATTAACGACGGACTTGAGGTCATTTTGGGCTTCGGCTTTTCTTATAAAACTTTGCTATAAATATTTCTTGAGCGCTGTCAACATCGACACAAGTCTGAATTCCCAAAGCATTAAAAGAGAAACAAAGTTACGATCAATACGTTGTATGATTAATTGCTTGAAGGGCTGTCGTAATATTATCACAGGAATATATTAATAAATGATTTCAGCGATAGTCGCTGTTTCTTTCATTTCAAAGCTTTATACGACGAGCACGCTTGCCTTCACTAGAATAATTACTTTCTGTGTGTGCTGACGAAAGCACAGTATAAATAGCTCTACTTTTATGCAAATCTCCACGTAATCTTCTTTCTTTCTGATTTAATCAAGATGGACGGGCGTCTATATGAGTCCGTTCTTTTTGCTTCCAACAATCTGTTAATGGCCCGAGGCGTTTTCAGTTGTTCGTCTCCCCTTTCAGTCTCCAATTTACAGTTTGCCTCTTCACATTCTTTTATTTAAGTTTACGCCCTGTTTAAACATTTCCGTCTTTGTTTACAAAGTCAGCTAAACATTGTCGTAATCTTTCCAGAAATACAATGATATACATATATTACCTCTTCTATTCGTGGTGTGGCACTGGTGTAAATCTTTCTAAAATTCCACTACGCTTTCTCTCTCTGTTCCCGCCTACATGCTCGCCGCAGTTGTCAGTTTTTGTTATTATTTTTATCTACCTTGTGTTAGTAGCTATTAAAATCGCATGCCTTTTTTATTCCTTTATGTGCCATATTTCTTTAGGACGTAGCCGGTCAATGTCCTCCACAACATCCTCTCTATTGTTGCTCTTAATATCTTGAGGCTTTAGCATTACTCGTTATCTTTATTCTAGATATTTATTATGTAAAAATTGCATAATTGGGGCACAAGGCCGAAAAAGGGGAGGGGTTAAGGCTGGTCCACACTAACTATCTTATACCTAGCTAATCCGATTCACGACCCATTCACTCATTACAATTTATTCATTCACCACAAAAACTCGTCCATCACCAATCAATCCTCCATGCACCATAATACCACATCTTCTCTACCAGCCATTCACCCAAACACTTCCAGTGGTTTTGTCTTTTTCTCGTCTATTTTCTTTTGTCTTAGACATGCTCTGAATGCATCAAATCTTCAAACGTTATTTCCTTATTATGCGTCACATAAATTTCAACTAATTTTTTTCCAATTGCAACTCACGGCTTCCTTGTTCCTCGTTCCTCTTTTCCTCGTTGCTAATGTGTTCAGTCCATATAAATTCTTTTCAATCATTTCTGTCATGTAGTCTCTGTTTCATCAAAGTAGAGATTGTACAGGGTTTATTGTCATATACGAGATTAGTTTTTACATTGTATTTTCAGCACTCGTTTTTACTTCTAAATATATTTTCATATCTCTTAAGACGTTGTTTAACCCATGGAAAGTATCTGTTGAGCCTTCGAACTTCACGTCTTCCGTCGTCTTTTCCTACACTTACCAGAGTGTTATATTTTTGTAATCGATTGAGATTGACATCCTCAATAAGGATCTCATACTTTGGACTATAGCTTTTGCTTTTGGTGTTCTTACAGCTAATTATTCCTTTCTTTTTGCATTCCTCTACTATCTTGTCAAAGAGACATTTCAGTTTTCCTTCTAAAACTGCCATCAACATAGCCTCATCTAACATATCTCATGCTGTCGATATAAAATAATGGCCGGTCATTCTGTCTTCTTAGTGTCTGTATGAGTCAATCATATCCAGTGAGAAAACACATCGTAGTCTTATTGTAAGATTCAGTTTTTTATTGTAATTTGTATGGCATTATTTATAGTTGGTTAAACCAAGGTAATTAGTTTTCTTTTTATCTATATTTTTACATGTTACATATATTATTTAATTTTTAATCATAATACCTAAAAATAATTTAATCAAATACAATATGCTGCCTAATCGTCTTTACAAATCACTCCATTATTATTCTTCCAAAATTGTAACTGGTTAATGTGCTTTAATGTACTTAAATGAAAAGTTATACAAGTTATAATTTTTATTTAGCAAACACCACAATTTTGATTACTAATGATTTTGTTACATATTACAATGGAAATCAAGCTTAAACAAAGCCGACAAGATAGGATCGTAAATAAGGAATAAAATCTAAGATAAATATTAAGATAATAAACGTTAAGTTTCTGACTCAGGCATTTTCGCTTCAACAAACCTGGTGAGCACTGATTAGACTTACCGACTAATTTCCGTGAGGTTGACGGCTTTGGTGAAGATCAAATCTAAGCCTAAATCATCATTTCAAACCACGACCTCTTTCGACGCCATATTTGTTTCTACACTTTTTATTAGGAGAAGCATCATAGAAGTTTTTTTTTTTTTTTTTTTCATTAGGATGATGCATCTCACTTTCTAGTGACGTCACTGTGGCGGGAACAGCACCAAAATGATTTTTCTCAATCATGGCCGGTTGTTAATTTCACTGTTTAAGAAAATTAAAAACAAAAACAAAACAAAAAACAAAAACAAGATAGCAGCTCAAAAGTATCTACTTACTAAAAATAACTTTTATAATAGTAAGATATAATGTCGGATAAAAAAGTATTTCATATATATATATATATATATATATATATATATATATATATATATATATATATATATATATATATATATATTGTGTTTCTGTGTATGTGTGTAAACGCAGTAATTAATTTGAAGATGTAAAAACAATAAAAAATCCATAAGTTTAACAAGAATTCCTTTATTAATAGTTCGGATTATGAAAAAGGAATTCCATACAAATGCTCCAAATCAGAATACATGAAAGAATATGTAGCTGCCCTCTTTGAAAAAAATATCGTAAAAGTATAACTGCGGGTGAAAGGCCCTGTCGAAAAGGACAATTGTTCTGATTGTAGCTAATATCGATGGACGCTATTTATACACTGCAGCATTCCTTGGGTCCTCTAAGTTCTGGGACACTTCGTTATTGCATGTTTCCAATATTTCCGAGGATCTAAAACAAAAAAGTAAAAAAAAAAAAAAAAATTAAAATCGGAAGGTTAAACATAGATCAGTCTTTTAACTATGACGGAAACAACACATATATTGTCGCAAGTGTAATGCAAAAATGAGGTATATACTATAATACACATAGATTTACTCGAGCTATCATCCCAACGATTCTGGAGTTACAGTGTTGAAATATTTAAACCCTTATTCAGTTGCACCTACGAGAGGTGGGTTGGTAACGTTTTGGGATTTATGAATATATCGGCAGTCGACGTGTATACATATATATATATATATATATATATATATATATATATATATATATATATATATATATATATAGTGTAACCTGGTGTAACCCGGATATAAGAGAAAACCTGGTATAAGAGAGATTTTCTCTGGTCCCAAATTAGAGCCTGTGTTAATGTATATAAAATAGACCAAACCCGGATATAAGAGAAACCCGGATTAAGAGACTTCTTCTCCGGTACCGACAACTCTCTTATATCCGGGTTACACTATATATATATATATATATATATATATATATATATATATATATATATATCCTTTTTATACGTTATTTGTATAGATACAATTTATTCAAGGAAATGCTCTATTTTAATTAAACAGTATTAAATACATTTACAGGCCAGAATGTTCGAGAAGTTTTGTAGAAAATATGCGTTCTCCGATAGTAATCGAACGTGTATTCCTCTACGGATACCGCTATTTGATCAGATATGCCATAGCATTTAGCTACAGAGAAGCGCCTGGTTAGCAAAGTTCAAATTGCTGTTTATAAGCAGAATATATATTAAATAATTGACGGACTTAATCCACTTCATTATATGTTGTCACTGGTTAGTTAAGATAAGTTTCGTGTGTTGAAATGATCGATCGAGTAAAATCGATTATGTATTTATAAACAGTAATTTGTATTTTCTAAATTTATTTAAATAAATAATTATATTTATGCTCTACTTCTGTATCGAGCACTATTTTTTAAAAATAATAACTAAAATACTAAGGGACTTTGGATTATTTACCTAACCAGTTCCTCCCTATTTTCTATATATTTCCACACACACACACACACACACACACACACACACACACATATATATATATATATATATATATATATATATATATATATACATATATATATATATATATATATAGAATAGAATTTATTTCTTAACTCTTATCCTGTGCATGTGTACGTGATATTCGTGATCTATATTGTATGTGCGCCTAAAAATGACGTAAGAAGAGAAGGAAATCTTACGCATCCACTCTGGATGTTTCCACTTCATCCATCGAACGTCTATTATCTTTAACATGTAACTTTTCTTTGCTTTCTTCACCACCTGACATTTCCCTGAAATGAGAGTGAGAGATTTCGGTGCTAAATTTTTCAATTTTCTTTGTGTTCAGCAGCAAATATTAATGTCCCCCCCTCTCTCTCTCTCTCACACACACACACACACACACACTCACTCTCTCTCCCTCTCTCTCTCTCTCACTCACTCACTCATTCTTTTGTTCGCTTGCTCTCTTTCACACACTTTCATACTCTTGTAAAAACCGATGTTCTTAATTGCTTCCATTTTTTTTTAAATTAAATCTGGGTCATCATTATTCTTTTAGCCTAACTCAATTTCATGACGTGAAAATCGATCGTCAGTTGTTTGTGTAGATAGAAATTGTTTTGCGTAATTTTTTATGAACTGACTGAATAACTACCCACGTCCCCTTATATAAGCAGGTAGTAGTAATAGACAGAGCCAACGCTTATAAAAGTAAAAATATTCTTTGACCATAACATTTGTTTTTTTTTTTTACTTCAGCAAGGATGTCATTAAAATAAGTCCTTGTTCTCGTGTCTACACTTGTTAACAATCTCGGATTTCTTATTAAAGAGGCAGTTTTTCTCCCGGATAATAGGATGACGCTTAAATTCTCTCTATATATCAAGTATGTGGTGCAGTTCAATTTACATTACATGAATCATTCATACAAAAAACAGACATAGAAGTTAATGATATAAATGGCGAGAGTCCATCTTCGCAAACAAATTTAATAAATTCCATTAACCCCAAACCTGTATATGAATGATATGATCCCTGTTTATAAATTCCAGTTGCATAAGGTCTTTTTTTAGTTTTTTTTACAAGCTTTCGTCTCTTCATACAGACATCATCAGGTATGGAATTAGATTTGTTTTTGTTTTTTAATTCTCGTTAAAGACAGGACAACGAAAATATAGATGTAATCCGAAAAATGTTTTTAGAAATGTGTTATTGTTAATTGTAAGAAATTATTTTGGAGGTTGAATTTTTAAATTTTAAGATTGTGGATTTTTTGTACTAATATGTTAATATCGTAATTTGTTTGCGAAGATGAATTCTCGCCATTTAAATCATTAACTTCTATATCTGTTTTTGTATGAATGATTCATGTAATATATATATATATATATATATATATATATATATATATATATATATATATATAATTATTTATTTAGAAAATTTATAACATAAACATGTTATAAAATCACTACAAAAAATAGCTATTTTGTTTCAACACCTCCGGTGTCTTATCAAGTGATGATGTTGAATGCAAAACAAATGGTTTTAAAAGTTTCAAATTCGTTAACGATCTTTCACAAGGGGAAAACGTTGTTCCAAAAGCTAGAATGACCAATCAAAATACAAGTATAGGGAAATTCAAAAAGCTTGACAACGAAGTCATGTTATAATTGCTATTCAGATCGTTAAAATACGGGTAAAATTATTAAGATTTATTCTAACCAATAATTATTAAATTATATGATAGAATTTGATATTAAAATTAAAAACTGCCAATTTTAAAATCCAAATTTAATCACTATTAAGTTTAAAATTATAAAATTACCGAGGAGAAAAGTGGAAAAACATATGTTATTCAATTTATTTTTACGTTGAAATTACGTTAGAATATACGTTACTCCATCCGGTCTTCCGACAATATATATATATATATATATATATATATATATATATATATATATATATATATATATATATATATATATATATATATATTTTAATCCTGCGGAATGGGATCGTAAACTCACGCGTAAAACAACACAAACACAATCAGATTATAATACATAAGAATCCAAATATATATCAGAATATGTGAAATCCATATATATATATCAGAATATGCGGAAAATTAATCCCACTTTCGTCATAACGTAACTGTGTCATGAGTACAGATAATTTTTCCTTTCCCACGTACATATATACGTATATATCATTTCTGTTTGATTATCTGTCTGAATTTCAGAGGAGTTACAATAATTTACACAACTCAGAATCGGGCTATTCTCCTCATCTTTGTTGTTGCTATCAAATCATTGCGGCCGTTGAGCTCTCTGAATAAAGGTAACCATTTATCTCAGTTAATGCGCCAGATTTCCTTTTGTCTTTAGACTTGTTGTCCCTTTTACGCATATATTTTTGGTTGCATCTTTTTTTTTTTACATACCGATCCATATATATATATATATGGATCGGTATGTAAAAAAAAAGGGGGCCTCAGACACAACACAGGGGACTAAATTAATTGCCTTGAGATGATAATGCTTCCATGGGTCAAGAGGTTTGCGGCTGGAAGAACCTATGTCTGGCAACAGGACACTGCACCATGCCACACAAGCAAGAAAACCAAGTAATGGCTGGCAGACAAATTCTGCGACCACATCACTCCTTATACCTAGCCACCTAACTCCCTAAACTGCAACCCTCTTAATTATTATATGTGGAATGACCAACAAAAATTTTGTAACATCAAAGATGAACTGAAAGCAAGGATTATGGCAGCATTCACCGTCCAAAAGATTTACTGGAGATTTTATTTCAATTTTATTGAATAAATTTAATCTTTACTATTTCAAGATATGCTTGTCTACTTTTGCTAAAATGAAATGGCAGTGTTATTTTCATTTTTGTATAATTTAGGCGACCATTTTATTAGGAAATAATAGAATGTATCCTTTGACTATTCTTACACACACACACATATATATATATATATATATATATATATATATATATATATATATATATATATATATATTGTCTGCACTCTGGACATAGTTCGTAATGATAGGTGGTTTTACGGCTTAAGAAATAATAGAATGTGGCTATTCGTACACACACACACACATATATATATATATATATATATATATATATATATATATATATATATATATATATATATATTCAAAGAAACTATCCCAAATAGTCCTACATCATCATCACAATTTTTTTACGTGGGTGTGCGTGTGAGCGCGGTAACGCCCGTGTACGCCGTTCTCTCTCTATATGAATCTGTGTTTGTGTGTGTGTGTGCGTGTGCGTGTTGTATATACAATAGATGATGTATTTTTTGCATCACATGGATTGTCCACCATTTTCTACTGGGTGTTTCGAATGTCATAATGGAAATAGAATTTCACCTAATTTATAATTGACATGTAAAGTCACACAGTTCATGCCTTAAGTTAATTTCATATCATATATCGCTTTAAGCTTGCCGATTATGTTAGCTTCCATGATAGCAAACATGCAATTGCATCGTGCTTCCAAAATCTTAACGATTTAGACCTTTCCAGCAGTTTTTGTCCGCCCATTTAATCTCTTATTACATGGAAACTTTTGCGTCTTCTTAAGTCTTAATTCATTGGTTCGTTTTTTCTTCAGTATAACATATACTTTATTAATACAAACCTGTTAGTGTATTGGTCTCTGCTGTTTTCAGTCTGATTGTTACGTTCTTGGGCAGCATGGGAAAGGACTCTTTTAGAGCTCGTCTGCATGTCTTTGAGCTGCTCATGCCACTCCTTGGCATAACTGTGAGACAACAGTTTAGACATTGATACTTCATTACTTGATTGCTTCCTGTGGTAACCTGCTGCTTTTGAATTACTACAGAACAACGAGAAAGTGAAAGAGTGTGATAAATATAAATAGGTATTTGTTAGAAAGATTAATATTAAAAATCAAGTTGAATCTCAGAAGAATTATATTGCTCATGAATTTCATGTAAAAACCTGTGACTAAATAGATGTCTCTGTTATGGCACAAAAACAGAAGAATAAATTGTTTAACGTAAAAGTAAAGGTTGTGTCCATCTTAGATGGAGTCTTGGAAACAATGGCGAAATGCTGAACGAAAAGGTGGGTGGTACCTGGAAATTCGAAAGAAAATCGAGAGCGTCCAGAAACTGTTACTAAAAACAACTCCAATATTGAAGAATAAAGAATAATCACACATCCCCATTTTAATCAATCGGTTAATTCAGGTGGAAAATACAAATGAATCTAGAACATTGTAATTCAAACATTTGCCATATATACTCGTGTAAAAGCTGACCTCAGTTATAGTGCCACACCTGAATTTTTGGCATGCATTCTAAACTATTCAAAATATTACTTGTGTATAATGCAAACGGTCACCTAAAATGCAATGATTTTTAAACGCTTCAAAATATTACCTGTGCATTCTGCGACTCCCTGTTTTTTGCTTAACCTCCCCCTAAAAAAAAAACAATCATATAAACTAGCACTATACATCGAGTATATACGGTAATACTAATCCAAACCAGAAAATCACTTTCACTTTGAAAAGAATATAGCAGATAGCCGACCAGTAGATACTGCTACTGGAGACAAAGCTTAATGAATATAAACGATAATAATAATAATAATTAATTCAAATCAATGAACCAACAATAACGGCCACTGGAAGACATGATTATGAACACGAGTCTATATTGCAAGGACAAGAAAAAAGAGATTGTAAGTGAAAATATAAAAAAAGGTGCTATTAGATAAGACTGCATAAAAATTGATCACGTTGAAATTTCCAAAATAATGCATCAATGCAATAAAAAATTAAAATATAGAAGAAATAATGAAAATATTGGAATGAAAAATTCAACAAAGAAAAGTATGAAAAGAAGACACTTCACGAAGAAATCAAAATTATCCCGCTCAAAATAAAATATAATTTTATATTATCTAAAAGATTTGATGGAAAAACTGAACTAAATTAATCATTCCACATACAGTTCTTGAAAAGAAAATATATATATTATTTGATAAGGATACAATCATAACTGCAGTGATATCGTCGAATGTTTTGGATATCGACTCAAATGAATGCTGCGAAAATAAAACATGGCTAGAAATACACGTGAAAATTTCGCGATTTTCTTGAGTTCTCTGATGAGTCATAATTTTTAAGTTAATGTAAGGTCCACGTTAGTTCAACGACTATAAAATATCCGTGGAAATTCCCCTTTTGCATCGTTAAATACTTGAGCGCTACAAATGGGACAAAATATGGTGATAAAAATCATAAATGTGAATAGTTGTCTTTTTTTAAAGAAATATAAAGTTATAAATGAAAAGATGAAAACTTGGCAAGGCATTATTTTATTTCAATGAAGCAGACGTTAAACACATGAGAATGTTTCCGACTCTTTTAACGTTCCTTTCTTTCTTTCGTTTTCTCACTGATATGTTTTTTTTTTTTTGTCTGTCTTTTCTCGCGATAAAAATGTAATAGCCCATTATTTGAGATACTGACAAGGAATAACATAAGAGCTAACTCAGGAATTATTATATTTACAACTTTCCAGTATGAAGTTAATTTTTTCATGTTGTTGTTAGAAATCCAAAGGTTTTAAATTGTTTTGCACCATGAAACCGTTCCAATGATATCCGAAATTCTATCATATAACAATTTTGTTTTCTCAGATTTTTTTTGATTTGTGTTTCATTACAAAGAATTATATTTTCTGTTTACTAAATCAAAGTATTTTTGTATCAAATTTTATAATCCTAGTTAATTCTATTTTATTGTTCTATGCCTTAATAGACGATAATTATCATATTTTACCAAATGTCTGTTGACCATGTTCACCATAGTCTATGAAACAATGTTAAAGAATAACACTCACGAGTCAGACACTCTACTGAATCTGACTATATCGCCAATACCATTAGCAGCTGTTCCGTAATTCTTCAGTCTTCGATATCAAAGGCTGGCAGTGCATATTCGGTAAAAAACATGGCCGCCTTTATACACGTCGCATTGAATATTTTGAGCCTTCTGATTGGTTATCCCTTCTATTGGTGGACTACAAAATGAGTCAGCTCATTTTGACTGGCCCACTAGTACAAATGGGTACCCAAAAATTCCAACAATGTTTTCTAAGACATTACAAGTGTGATTTATTACATATTGTCAAGTGAAATCATGGGTCTCTGACACATTAGGATCATATGGCAATACATGTACTGCAGTCATAACAGCAGCGGTGTGTCTAAGGCAATTTTGTGATGTCAGTGAACACTCGTTGCCACTTTTGTAATGTCAACAAATACTCGTTGTCACTTTCGTAATGCTCGTTGTAGTAGAGACTTTGTAATCGCAGACGTCTTCGAATAACACGCGCTCATAGTACTTGCTCGATAATACCCGCTTCAGTAGTAATCGCCGAATAGTGATCCATATAATGATCACTTAGACACCACGCTACTTCCTATATATAAATTTCATTTACAATCACATGATCTATTTATTCAAATGGGATCGTCTGTGTTTGCTCTCGAGTGATCTGTGTTCAAAGCACAGTGTCGGCAGCGACACTTTATTCCTATATAACAGGCAACATGACCCAACTCATCACATCCTTCTTCATGTTAGTTTTGGATTCCAACTTTTGCAAACTCAAGACAAGATAACTCAATCATCCCTAGTATTTACCTCATAGATGGGTGAAGAAGAGATAGAGGTCTATCTTTTCTAAAATTAGTTATGCGACAGTGAAATAACGAATCCGGTTGGAATTCCAACTCGGCCCGCTGATGTCTCTCTTTCCAAGACGCTAGCCATCACACTACCACCACATCCTATACTTATTGAAATGAGGTAAAAATAAGTAATTTCGCATTTGTTTTGTTATCGCTTAAATGAATTTTTCGATTTTGTAGAAATAACTTAATATTTGTCAATATTTGATTTATATCCCAGATTGAAAACGATGACATTCATAAGAAAACAAATGCGATTCAATACAGGTGATTAAGAAAGGTAAAAAAAGAAAACACTTACTAAGATTCTTTCTGTGTAATCGGATTTTTAAACTCTGGTTCGGGGACGACAGCTTTAACTCTTTCGATCTTATAATTCAATGAACTGCAATCATTTTTATTATCAGGCCTTTTCCCTGCCTTGTTGGAAGACACCGGTTCAGTTTCGCGTTCTGTGGCCATCTTTTGATTGATGGACGGATTGGGCAAATCTTTCGCTGAGTGGGGATCATGTGCTGAGGCAGCCATGGTTTTTTCATGGACGTCCATCCTTAACGATTCTAACTGCTGTAGCTCATCTTTTTGATCACCTGAGTCTCGATTACGCGGAAGGTTTTGTGTCATGTATTCAGGAACACCAAATTTCCAGTTCCTGACAAAAAAGAAAAAAAATTGAAATAATGCCATGTAAATCATTAGAAACTTCCTCTCACTTCTTTCTCGCTTTTAACTTTTTATTCTCTCCCTCTCTCAATCTGTCGTTTCAAATCTTTCTCTCTCTCTCTCTCTGTCTCTCTCCCGCATGCACACACGACTTTATACACGCAAGGTTTGATATTTTAAGGGTTGAACCTTACAGCCATTATTCAGTTTTGATATCACTATCTACAGGATTTATGTCTACAAACGTAATATCACTGATAATGCACATTCTTGCCATTATGTATAGTAATATTTAAAAACAGGAAGAATAATGGCGTACACACACACACGTTCTCACACGAAGCGGAGGTGGATATATAAACGTAAACATTGGTTGTAATTATCCACATATAGGAATCGCTGCAAATAATGAGACGCAGAAATTTTAAGTATTAAATTTACATCTGTTTTATATATATATATATATATATATATATATATATATATATATATATATATATATAGTCTTAAGATGTGCTATATTTATGGGATAAAGTGCTCAATATCAGAGACAGAGCGTGTGTAAATATAAAAGTGAACATAGAAGTCAACGCTTAGAGGCGACAGTCTGTTTCATGCTGGATGCTATCGTTAGGCCACGTCGATTGCATATAGCATGAAACAGACTGTCGCCTCTAAGTGTTGACTTCTATGTTCACTATATATATATATATATATATATATATATATATATATATATATATATATATATATGTATACAAGAGAGAATCATACATTTTCTAACCTATTAAATGAATTGATCTCTTAAATTTTCGCATGTCATGAATCGATGAAATTCATTTTGAATACTGAATTATATCTACTGTTGAGGAAGATACACACACACACACACACGCGCACGCACGCGTGTGAACACCCACACACATATATATTTTATTCTGCATACCCTCTATCTCTGATATTGAATACTTTATCCCGGAAATAAATATATCACACCTTAAAACTTCACCTCTCTTTGTGTATATATATATATATATATATATATATATATATATATATATATATACATTACTGTATGTATGTGTGTGAGTATATATTTGTTTAAATTATGCTAAGTGTCGCACAAGGTGGAGTACTGCTATCTTTCTATTTTTAATTTTTTCCTGAAAAAAAAAAAACTATAAATATGTCTTCCGAGTTTTTATTTCCGATGAATTTGTTGTGGGTATTATTGCAAATCGTGATATTACATCAAAAGTTTCTTTCACTAGTACAGCTGAGCCCTACTAAATCTAAATACAAATTAGTATGAAATGTCAGACGTTGTTATTTGCATAGAGATACTGCATCACAATGACTTACACTTCTTTTTTCTTTTTAGCATCTTCTAGGGCATTGTCTTCCAAATAAAACCAGTTGACTCTAGGATAGGCAACTGCATCTTGACGTTTGTCAAATTCTTGATAGTTCAGTAGATCTGAAAGAATCACAATTGAAAAAAAAGTATAGAGATTGCAGCCAAGAAAAATAAATCATTAATGTGCGCTTGGCCTCTGGTTCAACATGAGGAAACGTTTTCTTCCTTTGATAAATATTGGTTAGAATTTATCTCATCTGAAAATAGTTGCTCTTTAGCTCAAATTAAAAAAAAAAGAGAGGAAATAGCACTCAAAAGCCAATACCGTTTGACAAAACTTTCATTAAAAACAAATGATGGTTATTTTATTACGATTAATACTACAGATTGATGTAAGATATAATATACTATAGAGCTAATGACAAGGCCGGATTAAGCACCTAAAAGATTTTGGGGCCACCATACACCTGTGAGTTAAGTATGCTAGCATGAAGTCTCGATAAGTAGTGCATGTGAATAAAGGCTATCAACCGAGAACGTGCATAGTGGAAACGCTAGCTGGAAATAAATATAGAATGAGCCGAAGGGACATACAACCACCGAAAGAGGCTGACCATCAGTTCCAACCCAGAACAATACCAAGAAAGAAAGAAACAATCACAGCTGTGCAGCTCCTGTCGAATGAGCCACGGCCAGATTCTAACAGAACTGTGACCAGAAGTGGCCGTGTCATCAACAAACCAGCGTGTTACAGAATCGCATACAAATATGGCTTGAATAATGCCAAACGAACATGAAGGTAGCCTACCTATGTTCACAAAATTACATACCATTAAGTTGATTAGTAATACTAAATTATTCAAGAGAGAAGATGTATTGTACTGAGTAAATATAATCCTCATTATCTCTCTTACCTCATTCCCTTATTAACCAATCAGAATGTCAATAAAGATTCGCTGCAGGTCAGTTGCCCCCCTTCATAATGGCAACCTGTTGATTCAAATGTTAACTTATTACTTTAGATGTGTGTAACATCATATCATTACAATTTTTGTGGTGCCACATTCCCTTGATTCCCTAAGCACGTGATTATCTTTGCTTAATGCTTAATCCTGCCCTTGGTAATGGATGCATTTATCTCTTGATATTAGTTTTATCACCGTAAAATTTATTTTCAGTAGATATCCATATTTGAGTTTATTTATTAAACAGTGTATTCAAATTGCAGCTGAATTATGCATCTATCAACATTGCTCATTGGCAGCTACAAACGGTCAACATTTGCCTTAGGTTGGTGCATATGAGCTGCTTGCGAAAAATTTTTTTATCAAATTTCTTAAAGTTCCAATACTATTATTAATATTTCCTTTGATTTAAGTTATATACACATTTATTTTCGAATGCTGGTCATATTCATTTTAAAGCCGTGGAAATGGCTAAAGAAGTGGTCGAAAGCGCTCGGTACAATGAAAATTATAGAAAACTGCTGTACTTCCTTACACCAACAACACAGAAAACATAAGGGTGCTGGAAAAACTTAATAAAAATTCATTCAAATCCTCCTTGTCTGCGGGTGTCTATTGAAAGATGTTTGAAAGAATATATGTAAATTTTTTTTCCGAAACGAAGAAAGCTTAATCAACTTGTACCTTGTTTGACAAATTGGGGACTCCCGTCGGATGGTTTTTATGCCAAACACTCACTATCGCAGGCTATTTTTTTTCTTTTTTTTAAACGTTTCACCCGCAAGCAAGGCGAGAAGTCACTCGGACGCAAGGGGTTACAGAAGATTTGGAGCAAGATCAGATAGGAGTGATAGAGGAAAGGGTGAGGAGAAGGATAGTGGATAGATCAAGGCAACTGGAGATGTCAATTGACATTACATTTGAATAGTTGGAGATTATAGCTCTCAGGGAAACTGGAGTAGGGAAGGGAGTTTCACAGGCGAGAGGTGCGAGACATGAAGCTATTTGAGTTTCGACAGTGAAAGGGTGAGAGTGGGATGCCATCCTCGTAGGGTGCTTGAACTCATGACGTCTGGGAACCAGCGAATGCAGCTCCTCGGATCAATTGCCATGAAAGTATTTGTAAAAAAGACAGAGAGAGGCGACGGTGCGTCTGTGAGAGAATGACTGTAGACGAGATATCAGAACAGGGCCAATTATATAGTATATCCGCCTCTGGAGCCTATCAAGAACCCCGAGGCAATTATATTATTTACAACAAAGTACTATTATTATTATTATTATTATTATTTTGGTTTTGTGCATTGTAGTAGTAAATTGAATTTCTGTTTTTGAGACATAGTGTCAAAAAGAGACATCAAACCCAAGGACATTTCTGTGAATCTTTTCAGAATAAATGATTTTCCCCTCTTTTCTGGAAGTCCATATTCTTGGCCTCATTTCAGATTCCTCCTAAGCGATCTTAAATGTTTTCTTGATGCACCCATTATTACTGGACTTAGCTATGCTCCATAGCTTCTTCAGTACCCTAGACGTACCCTGGTATTTTTTCAATATTTTTCCGTTTCTTTAGTGACCACTCTTGTATCATATGGATCAGCAATGTCAATAATTTGACACTAGAAATTCTCGTTATCTATAACAATAAGTTCGGGTCTTCGTGCTTCAATGACGTGATCGTTCTGGTCTAAGAAATCCAATGATATCTCGTGAGTACCTTTTTCTACAACTGCTTCTCTCTGATTTTCATACCAATTCTCTTTTACACCAAATCCAAACTCAAGGCACAGTGGAATCTCTTAGGAATTATTATTATTATTATTATTATTATGTAAATAAGTAAGCGAGTAACACACCGAAAATGTGATGTTATGTTACTAATATATAGAGACCAATATACCTACCCACCATGAATCCCAGCCTGATCGATGGGGCGTAAGGTCATATAGCGTTGAAACTACGGATCCGGTACGATCAGCGGTTAAGCCAAGTCGAGCCTAGTCAGTACTTAGATGGGTGACCGCTTGGGAATACCAGGTGCTCTAAACTTGGATGTGCGGAGTGTAAGGGATAATGGCTCGGAAATGTTAATCGGAACGCCGAATACCAATTTCGCTTAGGTTCGCTATATTCACTTATGCGCAAATTCAAGGGAAATTATGAATTCATCTCTTCTTCTCCCAGCTATGGGTTAAATAGTACTAGTTGTATCGCTAAATCATTATTATCTACCAAAAACAAAATTCTTATAATCTAAAAAATATTATCTGATTAAATGATTCTTTTTTTTAAGGTTTATCAACCCATTGCTAGGTTATTTAAAAGCCTGCAATGGGTTGATAAGCAGTAAAAAAAGAATCATTTAATCAGTCCGATAAGTCTATACAAGGCAAATACATCACTGCCAAATTATCATTAATATTATTGTTTATTTCCTTTGGTTTCTGGTGTATACTCATTTCTTTCCGGGTCCGTACCAGAGACCTAAGGTCAGAAATTGCATAATGACATTTTCCATTGAGCAGTTTTGAAAAAAAAAAAACATCACACATATTTTACATAGATAAATCCCTTCCTAAGGTGTGGGCTGTACTTATGTGTGCAATTTTTTTTTATATTTCTTTAAGGTACGGTCTATCAGGGATTCCTTCAATGGAAGCTTTTTCCAATCAGTCCGAGGGCTCCAACTATAACTTGAATTGTTAATGTCCTCATGCGCCACATTTTTGAGATTTCGATTTCAAGGTCCGCGTATTTTGATAGTTTTTTTTTTTGAAGATCTTCAAATATACATTGCAGTCTGCAGGGACTGCAATGCTAATAAGGAGAAAACCAGTGTGCTGAAAACCGACAGTAAAATATTTATGAAATGTTACATTTATTTCTGTAATTATCCCACTTCAGCAACCATCTTCTGCAAGAGCTATTGTTTGATTCCATTCTTTTCTTTCATTCCTATTTCTCTGCCGATTACAGAGTCTATTTGATGATAGAAATCCACAGGCTTTTCAAAGAGATCAATACATCCTCATCGTTAATTACAAATGTTTATTACATTCTTCATTGATTGTATAACGGGGCGGCATATTGAATTTGAGCTAAGCTTGGAACAGAAATTTTTACAGGTGTGTTAGATATTAGGTGTTCGCTTACATCTACACTTACTAGCAGAAATTTATTTGTAAAATTAGAGATCATCGTTAGCTGTTGTTCTTTGCGTAACAGACGGTGACCGATATTTTTTTTTATATTCTAAGGAAACTTCTTAAAATTTATTATTAAACTGAAGCAGAAATTATCAACATATCTTATGTTGAGTTATATTCAGACCAGATATCAGGTTCGTAGTCAGGGTGTATTTTCTTCCAGTCAAAGGTCCGTGGCTTAAAAATTACCCTTCGGAGAGTTCGTTACCCACGAGCGTAAAACAAAACAATATATAGCAGTAAACCAGATTTTAATCTTGGGGTTTAACCTACTGCTAATAGCGAGCAAAGTAGAGATGAGGCATAGGTGAGAGAGAGGTGCACAATTCAGCGGCCGTCTTCCCTGTCCGTTCTGCGAAGCCCGCTTCCATTTTCTGTGTGCCTTTTCGGGGGATGGCCAGTTTTATAGCTAAGAATTTCCTTTGTCTTCTCATCTTCGTCTGAAAAAATAATTTATCTTCCGTCAGTGATTTTCGTTCTCTTGCTCTGTACTTTGATGTTCACTTCACTTACTGATAAACCTCAATCGAAAGTGAATATTCCGCATTGATTTTTGCGATAGGTACCGTTGTTTTCAATTTAACAAAACCTCAGCTTACACATTTTACTACAAGTACAAGATATTCAGTTATGGTCAGAAATTCACTTTTCATTAGCGACAGCGTTCCACACAAAAAACAAAACCAAACAAAATGAAAAAGAAAGACGTAGTATTGTATCATGGAAATCAAGAAAGTATGCTTTTTACTATTGAAGGGCTTAGCGTAAGTAATCACTATTTTCAACGCTTTTAACATCTAAAAAATATATACCCATTGACAATTATTTAATTTACTAGAAATCGTAAAAGAAAAAATAGAAAGTTCACCGTATACTAGAAACAAGGGAAACGGTTAAAATCTGAAATTGGGTGTATTGTGATTTACGAAGCCAAACTTAGATGTGGTACAAGGCCGAAAGTAAGGGTTGTAATTATTCTAGCGAGACAAGCTTGTTAACCAGTACACCTCCTCGAGGCGCCCGAAATGAGTGTATTGTAGGTCAATACGAAGTGGGAAGGCCTAAGCGTTAAATAGAATTGAAAATGGCAATCGCTATTTTAAATATGAATTACGTCTTTATAGAACGCAATAAAAAGAAAGAAAACAATCGTCGGTTTCGTCTGGACAGACATGATTGTATCATCACACGAGAACACATCAAACTGAAACTTAAATATCCATCGCGATGCAACCGACGTGGGCGAGTATGATCAAATGAGTCAAATAATTAAGTACCTTATCTTTACCAAACAGGGTACGGTGGCAGAACAACACAATGACCTTTCTTATACCGGTCTTGTCCGCAGAGGCAATGTTGGCCAAGTGAATGATCGACAGACCTTTAGAATTTACGCCAAATATGATTTTTTTTTCCATATGAGTTCATATTTGTCAATTTGGAACAGCGAACGTGTATATGCCTGGAGATTTTCCAGCACAAAATATGATTAAATTGGTTCAACATTGCATAGGTTGACCTGAGGAGAACATTTAAATCAGTCAAAAGTTTTGTAATATGCAAAGTAATATAAGTTTAATTACACACACACACACGCATGCACTCATACACGCATGCGCTCACACACACACACGCATACATTCACACACATGCATAAATATATATATATATATGTATATATATGTGTGTGTGTGTGTGTGTATTTTTATGCATACATGTACATATGTGCATATATATACACACATACATACAAACACACACACACACACACACACACACACACACACACATATATATATATATATATATATACATATATATATATATATTGATATTTGAAAAGAGTGTACTTCCAATATTCTCTGACATTTCTTTGGATGAGGTGCCTGCCTATTTACGGAGGAAAGATTTCGACAAAAGTATGACAGAATATTTAATCACAAAAATAAATTAAGCTATTCCCTAGTCCATATTTGTCTGTTGACATGAATTATATTAAGAAATGGTGGTCATGAAATCAGGAAAATGTTCAGAACACATATTGCCAGAGAAATGTCTTGTTTTGAATTTAGTCGGATAACTCACAAGAGAAGGTAGCAAATCTGATAAATTTAATTGTCTTATGCATATAATTCTTCGAATGGAATAGTTCATGTAATTTAACAGAGCAAAATTTTCGCTTCCAATGTCATTTTATCATTCTTTAACTATTTCACAGATACATAGATAGATATAGGCTTATACACAGCAGCCGGAATATTTTGACGCAAAAGCACACAAATACATAATTATGTATATAAATATATATTGATTGGGCTGGAAAAATGTACATAGCTTTTCTATTTTTTTTTTTCGATTGGTGGTGTGTTCAATCGTCAACTGTTGAAAAAATGCTTTCGGTTTATAAGCGATGTAAAATTATGAAATATATGCAAATGATTTGTTTATTGAGAATTTTAAATTCTTTCACGCTAAATGCGATATTGAAGGCCAATGAAATGCATTTACTTAAATTTGATTCTCTTTTACTCATCCTTTTTTTTTACGTAAAAGACTGTACAAACAGCAACGCGGGTATAAACCGTTTCTTGAGATACTACAAGAGCTGAGAATACAGTATGTATCGAACCTACATTTTGGGGACCTTGAAGCTTGAAGGGTAATGGAGTCCTCTTCACAACCAGCAACAGTAAATTAGAGATTACAACTACCAAAAATCTATGAATGGATTCAGGCCATCTCAACGATCCTATACAGCTTGTAGGCGGAAAGATGCTGCAAGAGCTCACTACCCCTAAAATAACTCTGAAATTTGATCAATTACAGAGGTATTTGCAGCCATATGAAATGGGCGTCAGAGCATATTCTAAGGTGTAACGGGTATAAACATATTTGATGAGGTTCTATAAGCTCCTGATACATTTTACCAGCTAATAATCTTTGGTGGACTCGTATAAATACAAAGGAACAATAAGACATAGAATTTGAATAAAGAAATATTAACAAATATATTGTCAGCGAATTGTACAAACGAAACAAATGAAATGAAATGTAGAAAGTACAAAGCAACTTTAAAAAGCTGTCCTTGATTACCCACATTTTGCAGGAGCGAAACAAATGCGTCTTTTCGCTATGAAAAGTCACCGAGAAAGAGATCGAGTCTTTCATTATCTCGCGCTGCCCTTAAATAGACAGGGGGGGTGATAATTCTAAATTCTCGCTACATCGAGATTTTGTAAATCAGGGAGAAGCGCGACAATCCAACAAAAGCCAATATTAGCTACTTTATCCCATTGGATTATGACACTATCACTAAAATGTATTTATTTTAATAACAAACACTTAAAAAGAAAATATCAATTTTGTTGAAAAATTAATTTATGAAAAGGTTATTTCATGAGCCCTTCTAGGATGAGAGGAGCCGAGGCATAAGTACCATTATATTAATAGTAGATCCGCCACTGGTTAGAGTTCAGATGTGGAAATTTTGATTGGGAAGACAGAGAACATTCCAATATACCTGCAAGCGTTGATTATGCCCAAATCGAAAGGCTCGTTAAAACTAATCCCCACGTCGGATTACCGCATATTGCAATCTTTACAAAATTCTCTAAGTGCCGAGAAATTCAATTATCTAAATGCCCGCCAGAATAACTTACGAAGACATGTCAATATTGTGAGGACAGGAACATGAATTTGCCTCAAATAAGTAGTGGAAGGAAATGTCATATATGTGCTTCAATTAATCTCGGGGCAAACATCTATATATTGACATTAATTATCACATCAAAACGAAAATGCTTATTAGATATCTAGATAGATATACATGACTGAAACCTCAGAAATTAATATAATTATTAGGATATAACATAACACATAACGCGTATATATATATATATATATATATATATATATATATATATATATATATATATATATGTATATATATATATATATATATATATATATATATATATATATATATATATATATATTTTCTAAAGTAGACTCTCACAGAATAAATCAACAAAGTTAATGTAATTAATGGTGAATTCACTTCGCTAATAGATTAAGTAAGGCATAACTCACTGACCACTCGCTGAACGATACGAACCTTTTTTCTATTAATTGTAAAATTGATTAGATGTTCGGTCTCTATTGTAAGTACTTTCGGTAAAACCTTTAACATCTTCAGGCATAGCTGCTATTTCTTTTTCTCAATTTCAGGTAATTTCGGGTAAAGTTCCAAGATGAAAAAGAATTTGTTACTTGTCGAAAAATGATTTATTAAAAAGTGTGCAATTATATGAGCCTGCAGTAATGCGACATTAGTTTTTTGAATATCGTAGTAATGTAATAATTTAAAATTTCTATTAGTGCAAATGTTTATTTCGTTAACATGACATGGACTACTAGTCCAATAATTAGAGTAATGTCTCAGACAATTTAAAAATTTATTTTTACTGCAGATCGATTCTTTTTTTTAAATTATTAAATAATGCAGTATAATTAATATTGTAAAGTAGCCATTCAAAGAATAAAATAATAAAGTTAATGTAATTAAGAGATATATATATATATATATATATATATATATATATATATATATATATATATATATATATATATATATATTTTTTTTGTTTTTTTTCCCCTTCTCTCGTTTATTGTGTATATTTGCACAGCTTAAAAGAAAACAGGAAGGAATATATATATATATATATGTGTATAAGTTAAAGAAAGAGGAAGAAAAGAAAAATTATTTATTTATTTTTTTTTTCCCCTCCATACCATTAATCTTTCATTTTTAAATTTTAATTGTATGTAGGTTGTTTGTGTGACTTATTTATTCTGCAATATATATATATATATATATATATATATATATATGTATATATAAATATACGAAAATTAATAAAAAATGCCTCATATTGAGGAGGATATCGATTTTGATTTGTGTTTTCTGTGAGCATTCTCGGAGATATGCAATATTATGACAAATTCCCAGTGGTGATAACGTTGAAAAATAAATATAATACCATGTAAAATAGATGTTTTTATCATCTTGCTATCTACACACTCGTTCGCACACACACACACACATACACACACACGCATACATATTTAACTGTAGGTGTATATGTATTGATATATAAATAATAACCATAATAACAAGAAAAAAGTATGTGAAAATTGCGAGAATTTATCGTGTCTTTGTGTGTTTGTGTCTATATATATATATATATATATATATATATATATATATATATAGTTCGATTGATATGAGTTTGTGACCCTGGCTTTCACACAATTGCGATCGTCAGACAAACTGATTATTTTTTAAAATTTTGGCTTAATGCAGGATTGCCAGTATTGGTGTTTTTTATAGAAGTGGGAGGAAAAATTGTCGTCGTGATGGCACTTATCCTTACGCAAACATACATACACGCCCGTACACCCATCGACGTACGTAGACACACACACATGCTCGAGAGGAGAGGCACACAAAAAAACCCCAAAAAAACCACAACCCTATAGGAATGTCTTACCTCTTCTACCACCTTGCTTTGCCAGACGGACGTATTTTGTGTCTGTGTCTTTATAGTATGGCCTGGTCGATCCGGATGCAGTGTCATCATGACAACCGTTTATTCCAGGTATTTGAGACATTAGCGGCTTGGATGCGGGCTTGTCGGATTTAGAACTCTCGAAAGGTGTATGATAAAACCAAGCTGAAAACAGAAAAAAATCGTTTTATTTTGATTTATTGGAAAAAAAAAAGAATCTTGGTTTACAAGCTTAGCATTAGTTTGAATGCCAAGCATTCGTGAAGTTTATTTATAAATTACGTCTCTCAATATTAGCCAATTATAATTTCTCTTAATTTACAGAAAACTAGAAAATGCTTATAAATAGTTCCATAACAAATGCGCTTCATATTTTGAAGAATATGCATAGACTTTAGTAGACTCTGTGTTAATCATTTTGTTGTAATTTTACCGTGATTTTCAAATTCAAATACGTAGCCATGTTATTGAAACACAACAAAAAAAATGTAATAGTTAAAATTACAGAACTTTACAGACAAACAATTGGAGCAAAAACAATGTCATCGTAAAAACAACAAAGTTAAAAATATCAATGTGAAATATAAGTTCTATGCTGTCAAACTAGTCGCTTACTGTCTTATTACGTTAAAAGATCAGTTCTCGTTCAGTCACCGGTTAAGCAACTTCGAGCTCGGTCAGTGTCTAGAGGGTAGACTATTTGGTAATATCGGGTGCTGTACGCTTGGATGCGCAAATGATTTAATCGATAAATATTCGGAATGAGAAATCAGAGAGTCGAGTTCGAATACTGGTTGTGTTTTTTTTTAATCACTTAAGCGCAAATATCTTTGACAAAGACATGAATCTACATCTTCCTTCCAGCCATGAGTTAAATTATAGGTTTATTATCAGAAAACTATAATAAACTCCAGAAAAAATATAAACTGCCAAAAATATCTGTTGGCTTTGCATAACATGCAAAAGGTTGATAAATCGCTAAAAATACAAAACAATCAATCTATCTTAAATTAGTTTCCAATGTTGTTCGTGGATTTGTTTTTTGAGCTGTTGTTATATTTTCATATGAAACACATTCTACAGAATTCAGTATATTATTCCAAAATCTATATGCCCCGAATGCACTGGGAATTTACAAGACTCTAAGGCGGAATTTAGCCATCAATATTCAAGTGGTCAATGATTTCTTTAGGAAAATATTCTCAAGATGGATCAACCTATCAGAGGAAATAACTTTTTTCATCAGATTAATTCAACCCTAAGTCTAACGCTTTTCTAAGTAAGAGTATTATATAAATCACGACCATACATTGATATTAATTCTTAATAAAAGAAAAAAGAAGAATTACTATTTCCGGCGATTGAATGTCTAGATACTGACCATAATCTCAATTATCTCTGCTTATCATCAACTCGCTTTCGAACGTAGATATTAAACGTCTAGAAATAAAGACGCTATAATTAAAATATACGACTGTTTTGAATCTAACCATAATCATTAATGCAATGCTATATACATAGAAGTATTTGATCTCAAAGTAATGTTTGGTTGATTTTGTTCTGCAGCATATGAACCTCTATGAAATATTTAATGCTGAATATATATTTTGAACGTATTTGTATGCCTTCAACTGCAGATAAAATGTATTGATGCATATTATTTACTATAAATAGGAGTTGTTAATAACAACGTGTTAACCAATAGGTGTAATCCTTTTATATATAAATATATATTGCTGGTATTTTTACTATAAAATGTAATTGTATTCTTTCATAGTGTTTTCTTTTGAGGGCACTATTTGCCCATAGCTGGGACACTAAAATGCTATTACCCCTGGTCTGGGTGAATCTAGAAACAACACAAATTACGAATTGGTTCCATGTTCATCAAAACCTCCAATCTCCCGATCAGAGGCCTTGCTGCCCGATGTAGTTTATCGTCATACCTATGACCGACAAAGAAATATAAAATATCGCACATTATACAAATAAATCATTCAAATGCATTTGTAGTAGAATAGACCATTTCGCATTTTTCTCCTTGTTTCAAGGTTGGGGGTCGGATAAATACAAGAGACTTTATTTATTTTCAAGCCAGACAGATCTTACCCGATTATTAAATTTCAAAAATAAAATAGTATTCCCTCATTTTTTCGCCATATTTTGCCTTGTGTCATACTTAGGCAAACCCACTGAAGATCGTGAATCATGCGTGTCTGCTTGTGTGCTGATATTGTTGCGTATTTCCCACACTTTTGAACTCAGCACAAGTCAGGCATTTCCATTTTTAGAGTGATGAAAATAAAACATACGAAATGACCGCCCTCGATTTAGTCTTATATTGTACAACGCTAAGCATGTCCGCGTATAAAAGTGTATGAGTACATTTGTTTGTGTGAATTTGTAAAATCATATACCTCCAAATATTCGGAAAAATTGAATAGATTGCAGGAACTGAGCGTAATATGGAATTTGGCAGCAATATTTTGCAAGTAGTATACACTGTTCGCTTGTATATAGCTTTCTATATGGGATCCGTATTTAAAGTTTTGTTATATTTTTTAAGTTATTTTTCCTTCGAAACCAGAATCTGTTAAACACATACTATGCAAGCAAATGATTAAAATGGATACAAAATTTGATACATTTGTTTAATAAATCCGATGCTGCATGATACTGAGGCAGGCTGAAAAACGTTTGACATGAAAAGAAAAGATTTTAAATCAGGCCTAGATTTGTTCTTAAACATACTAACCTGGAACGTTGAATATAAATCCATTCATCTCGGAGGCCAGTCGATTGATTAAACCACGAAATAAGTTGAATATCTCTTTTATTGTTAAAATGCTTAAACAGAGTGAATCCCAAATTGGAAACAGGAGGTTCAAAGTACAATGTATTGTTAACGATCATTTCACCTTAACGGCATAGTAATTTTGTACAAAACATCCGGTTTTATTTTTTTTAAACATCTGTAGAAGTTAATATAATCGCAAGTATATGATCTTCAAACTTTAACCAGTGTGTTTAAAACTTCCTATTTATATATATATTTCATGAACTCGATGACATCCCCGGTTAGATTTTGACGCGTTAACAATGAGTAAAACAAATGACGTTTTTCTACTGGATACAAGGTTCGATGTAGGACTTCAACAGGATGATTACTTCTGTTAGTTAAAATGAATTTTCTGTTTACTATGAATCAAAAAATAAATAAAAATTATGATGTAGTGTAACAGATATTGGCACGGAAAGTAGATTCAACAGGACAAGTTCAAATTACTGTTGGGTTCGCTTTCGTACAAATGAGTATGCAAAAGGCATAAACACATCATTTTCCTTTCTTTTCCGACTATGGATTAATATTAGGGTAGACTATAGACTCTATAATGTCGGAGGGAAACCAGTATAAAAGAAGGAATTCACTTAATTCAGAATCGCGGAGAAGACAACTGTAAACCAACTGTCTTTTCCTTGTAGGAATAGCATTTCACAGATAATAAGGATAAATAATCTTTGGGGACGCCATGATTGCCTACGTCTTTAAGGCAAACGGTAATAATAAAATTATTACGAGTTCGCTTCCTTATAAATAATAAAACTTTAAATAACCAAAAAACAGTCTCGTTACTTATGTCTACATAAATTTACACTTGTTTCCCTTACATCACTGTGTTACTATCTGATAATAGGTGGAAATGTGCGGCATTTCCGTCGAATGAAATAGTTTCATAGACCCACGATTCCAGAGATTAGATTGTCTAGACAGACAGACAAGTAAACAGACACCTAGGGAAGATTATAGTATATACAATCAGTGTCATGCGTGATACATGGTTAAGCGATCATGTATTTTTGGATACATGACTGACGAGCCAGATTTTTTCCGCAGTTGTTGCCATTTCTTTCTGCCGTAGACAAGTTTCCATCCAAGGCTATGAGAACCCTATCTCTCCTGCTATTTACCCATAGCTAGGGAGAGAAGATGATATATACCTTTCCTAAGGGTATTAGCACGATAGTGAATGTTAACTTTTTGTAATAAAAATTTCTTTTACTGGACCCAGTTTCGTACTAATTTAAAGTAAAGAAATGAAATAATTTTATTTTGACAATAATATTTCAGGAAATATGCGATCATATCTCCCCACAGCTTTCTATCTCGAGTGCCTCTTACCAGTTTTCTCCCTTCCCTAAGACTCCCGCTCCCCGTTTCGATAATCATTCACACAAGCTCGTCGGCTAAGTGACTCGCTGATTTTAACTTTCTCTCAGTATGCCCCGCGAGGTTTAAGTTTTCCAAATTGAGCTGAATCTTCTAAGATCGAGTTTCTGTATGGATACTTACTTTCATTCCTTACTTTCAAAATAACCATCCATTTAATGGTCATCATTTTTTCTAGGTTACTATTATATGAAAATGATTTTGCAAATTCTTTAAGCAGTACAAAGAATAAAACACTATATGCTTTTGTTAACGAAAAAAAAAACTTTTATAATGAAATAGGAATTAACTAATAAATATTACTCAAAAATACATTGCAATAAAACGCTTCAGTTTCCAATTTAATATCTATCCTTATTACAAATAGTGATCATGACCTGTTTTTCCCGTAACTGAGCAACGAGATTAAGGTCAATATATTTTTACTGATTAATAAATACAAAGGATACAGGTAAATATATGGACTTGAGACAATATCATATACATCTGAATAAATTATTATTTTCACTCATCTAATAGTCCAAATAATATAAATAGTATAATTAGTTCCTATAGTAGTTAATATAAATAATATAAATTAAATAGTATATATAGTTCCTAGTAGTAGTTAATATAAATAGTATAAGTAAACTTATACTATTTATATTATTCGGACTATTGTCCCCATATAGTATAAGTAGTTCCTCCCTCTGACTGGAGGTAAACATGTTAGTCTGCATTTTTTTTAATAACTTTCAATTAATGAGAATATTTTTAGCAAGGGGCTTATTCATGGTATTCTAGTAGCCAGCTAAGTAATATGCACATCATACTAGGAATATAATACCGGAATACATAATATTATATTCAAAATGTTTTTGAATCATGGATTTTCTCAAAATTTTAATATACCTGAATTCGTTGAAGTATAATTGCTCGCAGAATCGTAGGTTAAAAT